ATGGAATTGGAAATTATACCCATTGAGAAAACCTGGTGTTTGATTTGCACATTGTCAGAAATACTAGTAATTTTTTCACATTGTTTAAGTATGTTATTATAAAAGCATTCATTTTGCATTGACTCACTGGCTTTAAAAAGTACTCTTACTGTCTGCAAAGTACAAAAGGAATATGGGGACAAGTCTGTGTTCCTCAGGTTTGAAAAAGCATCACCTGCTGAAGGTCTGGTCCTGAAAACACTTGGGATATGGATGATGGGATATTGGGATATTACACACCTTCAAACCCAGCTAGATCCTCATGCCAAGTCTGGGCTTGGAAGCTGGACACACCTGGGCTTGACATGGCCTTGGGACTAAGAGGACTTGGAGGCATGGGAATCTGCACCTCTGATACACCCAAAATACTGATCACCACTGCAAGGGACCAGCATGACTGCTTTCCCAGTAAACGCTGGGCCATTGACTTCCTAAAATCAGTGCTGAATGAAGATGGTGACTGTGTGTGGACCCTTTCCCCCCTGTGTCTCACAAAATACCTCTCTCCACGTTCCAGACGAGGTAGCTGAGTCCACGATGCCACAGGAGCTCCTTGGGGGGTGACAGTGTCACAGCGTTGTGTGACGAGGAATAAACACACGAGCAAATGCAAAGCAAGTCTTTGGTTTTCTGCTGGATTTGCTGGAGAACCCTTCTAAGCTTTTCCCTTTCCCCACATGTTTCATTCCTCAATAACAGCACACTTGCTGTATTTTTTTTCCCTTCATCCTATATCGCCAAACATTTCTGGGTAGTCTGCAATAAACTGTATCTGTATTTACTCCCTCTTTTTTTTTTTTTTTCCCAGGGAAGGACAAAACACAATGCATTTGAAGACTGCACATCTGCAGTCCCACTTCAAAGCTAAACTACACCACTCTGGATCCTTAGAGTTGAAAGTTTGGATTTGACCTTAGACCTCTTTTTGCCTATGCAAAAAGTAGGGCAATTGCATTTTCTTTTTGAGGGTTTAAAGAAATATTGTAATTAGAGGGCGAATGTCACCCATTTAGCAAACAGAGAAAGAAAAAAGGTATGTGTCTTTATTGGTAGCTGCATTCAGACTGTGGCCATGTGAATCAAAGTAGTCCTTCCTCAGAGCCATTGCTACACAATGCATTTATTATGCATAATGAACCACTTACTGTGTATGTGCTAACATGCATAGCCTTTGTGTCAATCTCAGTGGAATTTTCCATACTTTCCTTATTTTCCACAATGTTGTGCTTCTCTTTTCCTAGCATTCATGAAAGCATAATTTGAGCTCAAATATGGACATATTCACAAAAAAAAAAGAAATTGCATATTTGTTGTACAATATGCAATGCACCCTTCATTAGTTGTTTTGTGTGAGTCAAGTAGTAATTTTTCCTAATTGAATTTATTCTGTAAGACAGCATTTATTGTATTATTTAAATGTAACACTGCAGACGTGTGTTGGTTTGGAAAGGCACATTAGTAATCCAATTAGAGCAGCAGCCATACCCACAGATTTGCTATGCTAGCAATCAGCAAAGCACGATTTTGTTGAGATTAGCTCTGAACATTCACTGCAATGATTTGCCACTGAATATTTTTCAAGTTAAAGGCTAGAAAAATACTAAAATGTGAGAATGGTCTCATTGCTACAGCTAATTTCCATATAGTCATAAATTCATCCCACACAGGCCATCAGGTTTATACTGAGCCTACATGCCTGGTGATATGACCTCCACTGCTGCTAAAGTCTTTCAGCAGCAAGGCATGACTGACATATGGGTAAATGGTCATAGTACACTCAAATTTTCACCCAGAAAGCTGGGGAGGAGAAAAGACTGAGGGCCAGGGCTGATGCTGTGCTGGGACAGCAGCACTACACCAAGAGAGCCATTTCTGGGTCACCTGAGCACAGCACAGGGCAGTCCCAGAGAGCTCTTCACCATGTGAGAATCCCAGTGGGATTCTTGTCTTCCACCAGTAATCCTGGTTGCAATCAGAGCTGGTAACTGCCTAAAAAACCTTTGTATGCATTGCTGTGCAATGTTGCTTCTGCAGGGAGGCAAAGCACAGACACTGCTGTCTGTGGCCAAGGTCACTGAGATTGCTCTGAAGGATGTCCTTTGCACTGCAAGGAAATCAAGAGCCATTTCAATCCTTTCAAAATGAGAACTGTGTTTGCAGATGGGAAGAAACCAGTGAAAACCAGATGACATCTTGGTGCGACTCCAAATGTTGTCCAAGACACACACACGGAAGGCAGACCCTGAGAGGTCAATGTAGTGACTTGCCAAATGCCACAGGTTTCACAAGGAATTATTCCTTGCGACTGTTCTGCTCTGACCTCCAGGCTTAAGAGAAGATGTCACTTCAATTTGGTCACTGTTTCTCATTAATTTTCACCTAAGTTTTAATTTTCATCTGCCAGGTATTAGTGCAGGTGCCAGGTGAACGTGGTATCTCCTTTGTCCGAGCAGCTCACACCCATGCCATTGCTGTTCTCACTAGGGGCCAGCTCACAGAGAAATCCTAATTCCTGCAGCTTTCTGCTGCTCCTGAACGCTATTCCCTGGGCTCAGGCAGCAAAAGACCAATCGGGGGGACAGGGTCTGAGCTCAGGTCTGTGCTGCCTGTAGGCTCAGCAGGCAGCTTGGATGTCCTTGTGTCAGTGAAGAGTTACTTCTGCTGTTCTACAGGGTGATGCAGAGGGGGTGTATCAGGGAAGCTGAACTTTTAAAACCTAACTCAACTGCATTCTTTCAAGGCTATCCATAATTAAATTTGGAAAAAACCAACCCACTTCAAGAATGTAATACAACTCCCAAGTTACCTGAAAAGAAAGTGCAATCTAGTGCAGTGTGCTTTCACTTTCTCACTCTGTTCCTCCTGTTTCCTTCTGATTTCTTGTGCTTCAGTCTGTGTCCAGGTATTGCTGGTATCTGCTTTGTCTGTGAAAATGAAATACCAGGAGGAATTGCACTTGGTGCAACTGGTGCACGTCTAGGGGTTAATTCATGAATGGAGCAGGCTGCCCTGGGAAATCCGAGCTGGACCATGCACAATAAAAGAGCAGTTAGGTGCCCAAGCCTGGCAAGTCTGAAGAGGAGTTTTCATTTATTGAAAAAAACCAAAAACCTAAAGGAAGAGCACACGGGACTAGCAAAGACTGATCTCAAGCCTCCTATGTGCTCCTGGCTTGTGTTCTCATGCACAGGGCTGATGGGTGCCCAGGTAGGGCTGGCAGGCTGAAGAGTAGAGATTTGGTTTCCATGCATCCTTGAAAAATACTTCTCCTACTGAATATGAAGGAACTGTAAGGCCACCTTTTGGCAGATCCTTCCCAGTGAGATCCAGGTCAGTAACTGTGCTCTGACCCTCTTATAAAATGAGCTTTGCTGACCAGATGGGTTTGGGGATTTTTACAGGTGGGGATTTTTTGTTATGTCCCTGTGGCTGGCTTATGTCAGCTTCTAAGGATATGTGACCTTCAAGCAACAGGGCCACTGGTAAATAACGGGGCATGCACTTTCTATGCCTCTGAGGCTAAAGAGAAGCAAAATGGAGATTATCAAGGACCTTGGGTGTAAGTAAACATTAGATCTAAGTGAACAGAGCAGCAATCTGATGTTCAAATCCCTTGAGATGCCCAGATCTTGGAGCTGGTCCAACTTCCTCCGGAGTTAATAGGAACTGCAAAGGGACCTGCAAAGGCACCCCTGTGACTGATGGTACCAGAAAGACTTGGAAATATTTCAGTTGTGTTACAGCAGACTGTGTGTCTGCCTTTGCCTGGACTCAGAAAAAGTACAGAGGAGGTACGTACAATTTCATATTACTTATTTGCCAGGCTGGAATAAGCAGTTTGAAAACAAAACATAAATTTACAGTTTAAACAGAATCCTAATCATAGTTATAATATTTATCCTTTAAAACAACTCATTGGGAAAAAAACAAACCCTTAATTTGCAAATTTGTTACCATAAAAATAAGAGTTCTCGAGCTCACAGAAAGCTGGTACATTTGTGCAAAATAATAAACAGGTAATTCTGTTTTTATGAGCAAAATGATTAAAAGGTAATTCTGCTGTAGCTTGGGGCCCCATCTGTTCAAACTCCTAAGTCCTTTGGGACAGAGCCTGTCTGCCCTGATTTATGTAATAATTCTAATGAGTAATAGTCCCCATGATGACAAATGCACCAAGATACAATACTAAGAGAGTTTAGGCTGCAAAAAAGAGCAGGGTTCCATTCACACTTCTGATAAACAAACACATAAATCATCATAGTAAAGAGATTTACCTGTGGGGGTAATCCCAAGTGGAAATAACAAATTTTTATTTTTTTGGTTCCCTGCCTGTGCTGTTTCCCTTGCATCTCTGGAAGGCACCTGCCTGAACTGGGTCTTCCAGCAGTCAGTCTTTTCCAGACCATGACCTGTCCCTGTACATCCTGCCTCAATTTATCCTTCAGTGGGCTTCCAAAGGAGCACCAAACACCTCTTCCTGTCTCCTTAGAGGATGAGTGCACAGACAGCAAGGCACACTGACAGATGGACCTCGAGGAGTCTCTCTACCACCAAGTAAGCTCCTGCCTCTTGCATGCAGCCCCGACCATACAACAGGATCTTAAGTGTGAGTCTGTGCCAGCTGGAAACACATTACAATCATCACTGCTTGTTTCTGGCCAAACACATCTTGATAAAAGCTGTGACATTTACAGTGTGATACAGACCCATGTGTGATGGTTTAACTGCAGATCTGACTCCTTTTCGTTAGGAAAAAAGATACATTCATTGCCATAACTCAGCTGGCAGGCTCAGGTGTGCAAAACCTCAAATTTAAAGTTGGTTGTCCAAGGGTAAATTCCGAAACATTTTGCACTGCTAGAAATTTAAAAGAAAGCAAAAATGATGGCTACTCCAAACCCATGCAAAACAAAGTAGATAGAGAAAAATATCTATATAAAACTTCATGGAAATATTTTCAAATATTCCTAATATTCCTAGTTTTTGTTCGTCAGCTTGTTCAGTTTATTCAGTGACCAACCTACTACTCATGGTCTTGCCTACAACTCTTTCCAGTAAGTTTCCAGGAGAAGGCTTCTCAGATTATAAGCTTAAGTTTTGTTTCTTGCTATGAATCAGCAGAAGCCTTTTTATTATCTTCATAGTGTAGTAGAGAGAATTTAGAGAAATGATCCAGAGCTGTGCATGTATTTTTGGAAGAGGTTTGCAGCAGATCCTCTGCATCCACTTGTCAGGCTAAACTACACACTCTAGACCAGGTTTGCTTTTGGCTCTTCAATGGTTTGGGCTAGCACAGGTTAAATACGACTTAAGATGGTAGCAGCAACAGCCAAAGGCCAATTTATAACTTGGTATCAACATTTTGGGGGAAGTAAGCTTCTGGGGGAACTCCAAAGCAATGCTCTTCTGTACAACCTGCACAGTCAGATTTGTGGGAAACAAGTACAGGGTTGGGGCCCTCAAAGGACTGCAGGAAAATGACTGGCATTAATGTCTGCAACAATACTGCAGAAGTAAAAGATGCAAATTTAGGACAACAGAGAGCCTACATTCATTTTAGTGACTTATTTCAAGGAGAAAGTAATGAAGTAAGCATTTTCGAGGTGACGCAAACATTTGACACCAGAGGTGCACACCAGCTTCTCTTGCACTAAAGTCAGTTCCTGAAGATGACAATTTCCTGCTTTCTGTTATTCAGTATGTAAGAACAGTTTTGCACACTTGAACACGGTCCTTGATAATCCCCTGACTTTTAAGAGTTAGGTGGCAGGTGGTCTTTCAGATGGCTAAACCCCATCATTTGTAGGAGGGGAGTTCAGCCCATTCCATCCTCTGCCACAGAAGTCAGTGGGATTATTGAAGGGAAGCACACTCATCCCAAAGCTGGTGTGATGACAGTCACCTGTGTGTATGTCATATTGAGACCTGCTACGAGGAATTGCTGAAGAGCATTGAGTAACAAGGCTCAGGACCAGATCCAGACTTCAGCAAACTGTGAGATACTGGTTAGCCAAAACTTGCCAACCCCATGTTTGAATCTGGAGCCCAACTTGCCTGCTTTCTGCCTTTAACTAACACAGAGTTTGGGTTCAGGCTCTATTCTGAAGAAGAACATGCTGGTTTTGACACCATCCTAACTATGCACATCATCCCTCTATAAATTGCACCAGATTCTGCATCAAAGACATCCAAGTCTCATTTAAAACTCCCTTAGGGGAAAATTGTAACATAATGGTAAAGATCTCACTGCATATTAGAGAAAACTTATAAAACCCCCAGAAAGTAAAACGCTGAACACCCAACGAATACCAAGGCTGTCTCTGAAATGTAAAACTTTCCAGTAGCTTACAGTGGTAATTCCACCCTAACCGCCATTTTATTTTCATTTAAGAAACGTAAGGAATTCCAAAAACTCTACCTAGAATCACTTGTTTCTGCCAAACGGTTGTTCATGATGGCCAGAGCCCCAACCCCTGCAGAGAAGCCGTTCTGTCTTGTATTGATACAGACATTCCTGGGGTAGCCGTTGGCTGTCTCGGACAACTGCTTCTGCAAAATGGCCAGGGAGACTTTGTTGGAGGCTGTGAGCTCCCTCATGGAGATCATCTCTCCAGAGAGCCTCCTGCCCTCGGTGTCACTGTCGTACTGTCCGTCGGCGTCCACGGTGACGTTGTGGCGGCGCAGGCGGGCTCCCGGGGTGATGGCGTTGCGACGGCTGAGGCGGGTACTGGATTTATGGCACTTTGGGCAACATCTGCATTCGAATTTTTTCAACACCCAGTTCAAAATTTGTTTGATTACGATTGAGATGACATTAAAAAGGGAGTATATGCAACATACCCCCAGTAATATAAACATGAAGTTCCCGAATCTGTATAATCCCTGATGTTGGTACGTAGCCTTTTGGTTGCTTACCAAATCTCCAAAGCCGATGGTGCTGAAGGTGACAAAGCAGTAATACAAGGAGTCAACGTAGTTCCACCCTTCCACTGCCGTGTACATGGCGGAGGCGCAGCAGGAAAGGGTAATAGCAAAAATTCCCAGGATCAGCATCACGTGGTAAACGGACGGCTTCCAGCCCACGAGCCGACCCACCCCGGACACAGCTGGCCCCCTCCGCACGTTGGGAGGCAGGAGACCACTTCTTCTCAGCTGTCTCTCATAGCACGCCCTCATGATAAACGCCAGCAGGCAGATGATGCGCTCCAAGAAGAGGTTGAAGAAGAGGATAGTGCCGGCACACCCAAAAAGGCCGTAAAAGATGAGGAATAATTTTCCGGCCACGGTTGCTGGTGTGGTCATCCCAAAACCTACAGTGTGGAGATAAATGGGCAACATTAATAACACAGGTTTTCGTGAGTAAGCTCAAGATATATGTGCCTTAATAAGGCCTCCCTCTCCCTGGAAAACAGGAATGCTATCTCTAAGTCAGCTTAGGCCAACACAAAACCGAGTTTGGTAAAGAACGAAGAAGGCATCAAAAATTCAAGGAGATTACTAAAACTAAAAAAAAAAAATCCATTCAAGATGAAAGGATTATCATCTGTATTAACAGAGCAACACAACTCAAAATGCAGGTGGAAGACTCACTGAGCCCAAACCTTTTCAAGGTGGGATGAGGGGAAGAGGCCATTTTCCTGCTCCCACACGTGTCAGCCATCACGACCCGATGGAAAGTTTAAGGTCTCTGTTCACAAGCTGTAACCCAGTGTAACATTTTTGTTATAGGGGTCTGATTATACCATTCCCACTGAGAAGATGGAAGTTTTCAGGTTGTATAACAGGAAAAAAACCCAAATCAACACATCCCAAATAACTGAATATTATTTTAAAAATAACAGCACTTTTAAGTCTTTTCCAAATCCCAGCTGTGACTAGCCCACCTGGTATCATCACAGAGGGAAGGAAAAGCCATCACACAGCAGAGCTGCTTGGCAGACTGGGGGCATTGGGAACCTGCACATGGATAATTACAGCAGGGAAAAACACTGCTGCACAGATGAATAGAAAAATCAGAGTATACAAACTCTGTGAAGATCCAGCAAAAATATTAATTCAACTTTTCTTTATATGAATTTCTTGTTGTAATACTACTTATTATTATAACACTCATACACAAAGTTTTATAAGTAAGCAGTAATGCCTTGTAGCTAACAGACTGTTAAATAACAACAAAAGTGAACTTAAATTTGCATGCAAATAAATACAGTAAGCTTATTCCATGTTATTTGCTGATACCAGTTATCTTATGAAAAAGATTACATATATTTCACGCCCTATCTCAGGAACATTCTTCTGAAACTCAGTTCTGCAGGTATTGGCTTTCTTCTGCTATTCTTCCATGTAAAAACATTTGGTGGCTCAGGCAAAAAACATATTGACAGGACTGAGGTGATTGCTTATGTCCAATAACCACATCTAATATAAAGTTTTGTGAAAAATTCACATTCTGAAATTTCATTGCTGTATTTTCCCACGAAAATATCGAGCAAGTAACATATCCAAGGGGGTAAATATCAACACCAAACTATACAAACAGAAGTTTGTTAAGAAAAAGCAGAGCAATATGAAATCATTACAGACCAAAATGAAATAATTAAATGCAGTTTATTAACATGACATACCTTTATAAACAGCAACAGGATAATACTGCCTCTATATAATGAGTTGAGATTGTTGATCAAAATCTATTTATCTATTTTCACAATGGCTGAATTTTTCTGGGTACTTTATCTGTGGTCCTTTCCAACTTTGTTGATAGAGAATTTCCCATTGGTTGATAGAAGAATGTAAATTCTCACGACAAGTAAACTCAGATGTATCTTTTCAGTGACATAAACACAGCATGAGGAAAGAGGTGGTCCTACTTTCACAACAGATTTGGCAGGCTCAGAAACAGCTGTGTGACAACAAGTCAGCCTATGCCTCATAATCTGAGTAACCTGATCTAATGAAAGATGTCCTTGCCCATGTGAATATATGACCTTTCAAGTCCCTTCCAACCCAAACCATTCTATGATTTTATGATCAAAAGCATCATTGTAAAAAGAGTATTTTGTGTAAAAGCCAGTGAAAAACTTACAAAATATTTACCAGAAAATATTTCCAAAGAGGACATTACATTTTGCTTTCTGGACCCACCATCTCTCCATTTTGTAGCATTAACAAGACCACCTTTGAGCAGACCTCACAAAGCCTGCCATGGCCTCTGTGAAGCTCCTTCTTCCCTGTGGGGTGGACCTGTTCTCTGGATGGGGCTGGCTGATAGCAGGCGTCTTCTCATTTAATGATGAATATCCAAAAGTGCCTGGTCCTCAGCAGGAGCTGGGGAGCTGTTGTGGTTGCCAGCTAGGGATACACAGCCAACTCGTTATGGAGAAGGCATCTGTTCGCCTGTGCCTTGTCAGCAAAGCACTTGAGCATGTGCTTCACAGCAAGCATGTGAACGTTACCATCAAAATAAATGGGTTTATTGTCACACATATGGCTAGACACACTTATTAATTAGGAAAAAAAAGAAAGATAGCGACAGTTTGGATCAAGCTGTAAATGTGCTGAAGCCTTTTAGTATTTCCTGGTGATCCTTCAAGAGAAGTGGTGAAGTTTTGTATTTTTGAGGCTGTTTGTTTCATCAAAATTTTCTGAAGCAAAATGCTACCAAAATTCAGTATGTAGCTAGACAAGGTGAAAGGGCACATCACAGCAATGAGAATGCTAAGAAATACATAAAACAGGCAAAAAATGAGGCCAGGCAAACACTGAATCATTTAGGTTGGAAAATACCTTTAAGACCATTGAGTCCAACTGTTACCCCAGCACTGCCAAGGCACCACTAAAACACATCCCTTAGGTCACCAGCTGGCTGAGGGATCAGTCACGGGCTCTCCAAGCAGGGTCTTCCTCTGCCAGCTGTGTTTGTCCCCTGCTGTCACCCCAGCCTGAGGAGTTGGTCCTGGTATGTTCTGTACCTCATCTCTGGGCTCAGCCCTCGCCCAGGGCTAAGAACACCATGATGGCTGGATGAAGCAAACTCATCCAGAACTGCCTATGCTTCCAACAGTGCAAGGAAAAAAGAACAACAGGACTTTGTGGTTTTCATGCCCCTGAGATATATTTTACAGGTGCCTTGGGGTTAACTTTGTGTGGCTCAGACACAATGTCTGAACCTCCCTCATACCAGTTCTGCCCCACCACTTCAGATACTCTATGGCAGCATTAATGTCAGCTGGTTTATATTTCTCCTCCCCAAAGAAAACCAGTGGAGATGAGCTGATATAAACTTTCTTCAGCAGCCTCTCATGGTTAAGTGCTGGCATTTAATGAGACCCTCATCCTGACTTGCATAACAGCTTTGTGGTTACAATTCTGCTCATCTGGAGTTTTAAATTACTTAAGCTAGGGATGGATTCAATAGGTAGAACAGATGGGCAAACTTGTGACATATGCTTCCTGTTGCTCTTGCTTTCTTTTCTTTTACCCACTTTCTTATGAGTAAGAGATGGTTGATGCCAGAAGACAAAGGAATAGCAGCTTTAGTACTTGTGAGCTCTCCTCTCAGTCAAATTACTTTGGCAATTACCTTGTCTTATCATATTTTAAGATTAAAGGGCGTGACAGTTTAGCAGTAAAGACATATTTACCCAGAGATGCAATAAAGTTTTGGTCACTTCAAAAACTGAACACAAGAAAGACACAAAAAACAACACAAGAAAGGGCATAATGTGTCCCTGCCTTTTTCAGCCACCCCAGTTCTTCTTATGCAGGTGTCCTGCCACAGACTTCACTCACACAGCTGGTCAGCACACTGGAGCAGTAATTTGAAATCCCAGAGTGAAACAGCACTTAGATCATCAGAGTAGCATCACCTCTATACCACTATATAACCGTCATGTATTATACTTAAGGAAATAAAAAGAAACTAAAATGGTTGAAAGTAACCTTTTAAACAGACGGTTCCCCAGAGATAAACAAGAGAAACAACCATAACCAGAATGCTGCTTCCAGAGGGAAAGAAGTTCTGGCAACATAAAGGCTAAGAGATGGAGGTTACAGAACACAGACAGAGAAACAAAGAGATACCAATTTTCATGTTTTCCTGCTTCCTGTCTTCTCCACACTTGCTTTGCTTCATAGCTCTCCAATAGTCCTGGCTGGTCTTCCCCAACACATAAACCATACTATACACGTATATAAGAACTAAACATCCTAGTCTGAATCCCATGTTTGGGTTCTGGTGCTTCCTTCCATCCTTTCCCATCTGTTAGCATTCCATCATTATTTCCCCTGAGAATCATACCTGTATATTTTACAACTGCCTCTCATTTATTCTCTAGCTCCTTACCACCTAACATCCAGCAACAGTTGCCTTGGATACAGGGTCACAGCTCAGAGCTGAGAAAACTGCTGCATCCAGAGCTTTTACCCAGGGAGTAGGAATACTACAAGTCAGTTCTTCCAACCAGCTCCGCATTTTCAGACTACAAATGAGACTTACTTTCCCTTTAACATCTTTCTCAACCTGCTTCACTAAAATACCCCCCTTTGGGCTCAAACAGTAAATTTTTTAGAGCTTTTCTACTGCAAAGCCTTTAATATAAAAGTTGCTGTGAAATCTCATTTGATCTTATTCAGATTACTATCTGCAAACACCTCCTGAACAGCAGTGATCTGTCCACCACCGTGTGAATTAAGGCCCTTTAAGTTGGACCCTTGCTATTTCTGAATAAACGGGATACAACTGCAGTTTTTAGGGCTGGCCTAACCTCTATCATACACAAGCTTGCAGTCCTTGGTGACCCATGTACTGGGGCAGATATTGCATGGAGAAAATACTGAGTTACCATGCTCCATAATCATTCCATCTATCCATTATCCAAGAAAGAGCACCATGATAAGGCTAATGAATGTAGTTAAAAACCACCCATGTCTCTGCTGGTGCTCCTTGTTTCATTTCCAGCTGTGAAACATCAGTCAGGTGTTTGAAACAACTGCTACTCAAAAGGAGCCACGCTGGCAGAACAGAGCCAGGAGATGATTAATTGAACTTTAAGGAGTTTCAAAGAGTTTCAGACAATTATTTACAAGCTTTCTGCAGTACTGATTTTATTGTATTTACACACAATGGTGATTGGGTTATTGGTTATCCAAAGTGCTGTGACTCCTTACAACAGTGAGCACCAGAATCAATCACCCTTGGCATTTCTCTGCTGGCCATGCTTTAAACCACAGGCTAAAAGGTCATGGCCACATATTCATTCCTCTTTAATGTATGTTGGGTTTAAAAAGAATTGTATGCCTAAAATAAGATAAG